CTTAGCTATAAACCACAAAGCAAATCATCAACCGCCTCTTTAAAAGGAACGAAGACACAATAATGCAGCAATATTTGTTTGAAGAGTTTACAGCAAATTCAATGTATTGAAGCAAATGCTAGTTCTTGTTCAGTGTTAAAGTAGCAGATAAAGAGACCATCAGCTTTTCGATCAGTAGGTAAATACTGAGTAATTAAAGAAAGAAGTATAGACAGCAGAAGCGGTTCGTAGAATATTCAACACGGGGTGGTTAAAAGAAACAAATACAGAAGAGACACTCAGATGAATAATGAAGATTGTGTGCATTAAACTGAATGCATTCATATGAAACTCTAAATTGTATAGTTTGAAAACCAAGTTGGGTATTTTCAATTCATTTGTTATTTCAGTTTACACATATGCCAGTTAAAATTGAAGAACCATTACATAAATCTTACTAAACCTAAACGCGGTCAAAACCAAAATGCCTCAGTGTCGCATGATAGTCCACACCCATCTGGTCTTGAACTTGGCCACATCTTGTACACCTCTATGTAAATGAGATGGTTTAAAATCTTGGACTTTCTTCCATGAGTAAATAGTCCTTCTTTTGTACCTATGTGTCAAGATGTCGTGATAAACCTCAGTTCTACCCTAATTCTTTTGGGAATGAAATGTATTCAAATTCAGCCATAAAGGTTGGAGTTTTACTTATAGGGAAGCCGAATTCCATTGGCCTAACTACCGCTTTGGATGTAGACGAATCCCCTCCCGGCTCTACCTGGAGCTAAGACTCGTTCTTGGCTGAGCTTTCAGACTAAGCAGACGGCTTGCTGCCTTATCTGTCTATCTGCTTACCTCCGTTTTAATCACAGATTCACTCGGGAACTTCTAGGAGCATGGGATGTTATGAATATCTGGAGACCAGTTCAACTATCAGTATCGTAACACCCATCAAGTGTAACCAGCATACAGCCTACAGGATGAGGGCTCCTCAGTGAACTCCTCATTTATGTCCATGCATAAATGTCAGTGGCTCCATGAGACGACAACTGTCTGCTGTACCTTGATGTTCACCATCAGCTTGTATCTTCAACCCAGAAGCCTTTTATGTAATTGGATTGCCAACAGCTGCCACGACCAGAGGGTGGCATAGGGTCTAGTCTGGGACAGTAAGATCGAACATGGAACCTTCTCACGTGAGATACCATTGAACACTATAAACACTATATTGTGGTGAATGCTAGATATTCAAAGTTTCTATTGATTCTAGTGACTGGTAAACGGTGTTCTTTTTATAGAATTCACAATAGCAAATCAGGAGTCCATCTGAAGTAGGGAACTCTTGGCTCCATAGCTAGTTTACTGTGTCTTGCTAAATTAATTTCTTACATTCTTACCTGTGTTACACTGATTAAATGATGTTTTGTTGTTTTACATTCTGTGGTTAGTATCCATCCTTCATAGTTCTCATTTGTCTAGAGTGTATGTTGTTTTGTGTAGCTCATGCTGTACTGTGTTAATTTGACTAGCATGTGATTACTATCTAGTCTGGAGGCTTAAAAGTAGTGGGGAAGTCAGTCCAAGTTGCGCCTAAGAATATTTATGAATTCTGTAGTGCCAAAATTTGAGTCGCTTCACCCCTGAAGTAGGTTGGATGTTGTTTGGAGCTGCGGGATACCGCCTAGACCATTGCGATTCAACATCTTAACACCTAAACTATTTCAGAGTGTCTTTTTAGTTCATTAGGGCAAACCCTAAAAGACACGTTACACCAGCGTTTTGACATTTATGAAATTGATAAATCCAAAAAAATGTTGAGAAATAAGAGAAATGTCTAGACAATCGCCTCTTTTATCAGTTACAAGACAAATATTATAACAAAATGTCGAGCACATCATGAGAAGAAATGGATACCATTTTTAGAAACAGGTAATGAAATGTAAAACAAATGGATTGAGGACACTAGGAAGTCCAAAATAAATTCTCAATGAGGAATGTCTTAGATTCCATCCCTTATTAATGGAAGGATTAAACAAGATTGAATGTTATGGATCTTAGGAAAAACTCCATATGAACACATTGTGTCTATAACTGCTCTCTGGGACGATGATGATGAAATAAAGTGAGAAATGTAAATAACTACAGCAGCTAAATTAAAGTTAGGATTGAATTGGTTGAGATAATGTATTTGGTAGAGTTAAAATAGGTTTTTCAGTTACCAGGTCATGATATTGTTCACGGGTTATCTTTCATGATGTTAAGATAGTCAGAATGTTAGTATATGTGTTAAAATATTATAAGTGTTGAATCGTATTTGTACTAACTCTTCTCTATTACCTGTAGTTTATCTTTGTAACTACAAGTATCTAATACATCGTTGTAGAGTGCTTTGAAGTAATATTAACTCTTAAAGTATAATATAGGTTACATAAGTTGCAGTAACACACTGGTTATTCTTTTTTTTTTTTTTCTGGACATGTAAACGCACATATCTACTCGCCCAGAAGAGTTCCGCCAGTAAAAATAAGTACGACACATATTAAATGTATTAACTGGTACTCATAAATACAGGGAAGAAACATATGAAACATGATTTATTTATTTTATTTATAAAATATGCACCCAAAAAAGGTTTTAGATAATGGACCTATTCACGTTTTCCGACTAATATACACATTCTCAGTCTGATCTAGGTCAGAGGGGTGTCACTTTGTTCTGTTTACTTCGAAAAGCGTCTCTCGTGGGACCTAGTCTCAGGCTGGGGGTAGGGGGGTTTGGATTAGGGCCAGTTCTAGATGTTATGGGGTTGTTTAAAGTTGTGTCTTTATGCCGTATAGAACACGCGACATCGGTTATTGCATGACAACGTGACACCCCTCTGACGTAGAACAGATTGAGTAAGTGTGAAGTTGGGCCGGGAAACACTAGTAGGACCCAGATAATATACGATAATTTGCATCTGTTTTGACTATTAGCTCTTGGCACATATCTTCTGTTTCACGACTCCGAGCATTTATGATCATTCACAGATTCAACTGCCTTTATTCGCCTCTGTGATTCTGAGGTACAGAAACCTGTAATGAAAGCCACATTTTACCTAAATGCATGAAGTAAGGACTGGGTCGAGTCAAGGGATCGACTTAATTGCATCAGATTTTATAATATATGTCTCAGTCTCTCTCCGCAGAACGGCTAGCCGTCGGTCTTGAGTGTGACACAAATCACAAACTTCGTAGCTACGGCGACAATCCACATGGAACTCCGTAGAAATTGCACCCGTGAACTGAATGTTATTCATACTAGATGTAGTCACGTTGTACACGAGGCTCTCTGTTTTCAAGCAGTTTTAATTCACCTTTGCAGTAAAACCTCCCCCACCTAATGTTACCTCTTACTACAGACACTTTAGTATATATTATGATGTCACCTGGGCGTGAATTTTCAATGATTAGCAGTTGCACCGCTGACTCTGTTTCACCAGCTATCCAATCTCGCCCTCGGTCCAAGGTAACTACCACTGTGTGCAAGTCTGTTTTGCTTTGCGGCATTGTAACCTATTCTTAATTATCAGCTAACTTGTCAGTAGCACAAACAGTTCTGTTGGCAACTTTTGCCTGCGCTATCCAAGAGCCACCTATTTTCAGCCGTTGTCTCTTGCTATCGCCTAAGGCCTCCATTCAGAGGGTGTTTCCTTTAAAACCTTGCATCTCTCACATTCGGTAAACAGTAAAGTAAACAACATTTGGCAAAACTGAACAGTTTCTTACATTAAACAGGTAATCTGCTCAAATAATATGAAGAGCCATATTCAGAGCTGCCAACATCAACGTTGGAAAGACAAGGCTAATGAATAATAATTAGTCAATGATGCTAACACAGTTGTGTGATCTGCGAGTAAAGCCTAGCGAAACAATTCGATGCCGTCTTCTAGGTCAAGAAAGGTGACATGATAACGAACGTTTGATGGTAGCAACTGACAGATTGACTTTCTACCCCACCAGGACATCACACAAGCGACAAACACCCGATGACACAATTTGCCACCTTGTGGTTAAGTATCACCGTTGAGAGGTCCCAGAAACCGCGTTCAGCATTTAGGCCATATTTACGGCCAGGCTATATTGCGGCCCCCGCAAGAGCCAGAGTAGGGCTTCAAGTAACAATGATGGTAGCAAGCATCGGGGATTGCTGTAGCATCCGAGGACTGAACACACGTTGTAGTGCCCAATGTGAGTGACGTTGCTTGTAAAAACATAACATCCAACAAAATAAGTTACGGGTCAAAACTGAAAAAAGACATGTCACTGTATTTCTTCTTCTTCATTTCCCAGTGTAAAACGCTTGACAGTAAATACACTTTTACTAATACACTACAAACATTCATTAACTGGTGCCTGTGCAGAATAAAGGGAAGTAAACTGTATGACAAAGTCAATAATATGAAACTGGAATTGAACTTGCCAGTTACAGAGAACCAGGAGGTGAGAAAAAGATTGATGGATAGGACACTATCTGGTAATACCTGATAACAATCTAACAACAGTGTTGTTGCATTGGGACAAACAGGGTCAACGGTTCAAAGGTGGACACATACGCATTCATACACACACTCACATACACACACACACAAACACACACAGTATACACACACAGTTAAAGGGAAACGAAAGGAAATAAAAAAAAATATTAGAAGAACATGGGGAGGGGAAAGGAAATGTATAACACATGAAAGGATAAGACTACTTGGGGTAAATTGGTTGGTGGGTTATGTTGCATTGGAGGGAAACAAACAACGGCAAAAAAAAAGGAGGAGGGGGGTGGAAGAGGAATAGGTCAAACGAAGACAAATGGTCATGCGCGCGAGAGAAGGTAACACATTAAGATGAACTCAGTGACGTGTACATACGCCTAGCGTGGAAACGAATTGACAGAGGGTATTGGAGACTGATCACCACCGACCACCTGCATGAAGACGTCAAGCCATGCGGATAACACATGTCACTAGTTCACACAATTATTTATTGACTGGTTTCCCGCAGCTCAAACAAAAGTGCCACTGGTTTTTCCGGTACTAGAAGATTGTGTTCTTTGAACAGCACACCATCTGACCCTCTCTTTGGCTCCGTTTCATCGTTAAGAACAACTCTTAGTTTCCTTATAACATGTACCAGTGCTTGTTTCAGCTCGAGATAAGCCAGCCTCATTCCCAAACAAATTCTTGGGCCGTGGCCAAAGACACAGAAGGCCAAAGGGTCCAGTTTTTCTTTCTCTTTGGGAGAGAACCGATTGGGGTTAAATGTATCTGGATCTTTGAAGAATCGAGGATCTTTCAAAGCAGAGAAGTAAGGTAACACAACAGTGGCGCCTTTTGGTATTGTGACGCCACTGTAGGTTAGCGTTTCTTGTGCTATTCTTTTAACTGATGGTACAGGTGGGTAGAGACGTAGCGTTTCGTCCAAGACTTGTTGGGTGTAGATCAGGCTGTTAAGCTCTTCCAATGTTGGCGTGTCACTTTTTACGACCTGTGTAATCTCTTGGAATACTTTATCCTGCAAGTATATACGGTAATTATAAATAATTAAAAGACATGTCTAAAGCATTAACAAAGCATTACGGTCTCCTGTGCTGGTAAATTGTTGCTGTGTTTGTTATTCGACATGGGCTTCGTTATTACAAGTTTATGTAACCTAAGGTACCATTTAAACGGTTTGAGACTAATTTAGTCCGTATTTCATATTTGTTGACGTCAGGCTGTACGATAGACATGCCAACGAAGACACCTTTTTGGAGGTGCCTAGTTTGTTTAAAATAAATGTATACCCCGATAGTCTCACTCACTCACTCGCCTCAATTCTTGCAACGGGTCATTTTTTACATTAACTTCTTTTGCCCTACAGTGATACTACTCTAACCCATCGGATGGAACTGGATAATTAAAGTAATATAAATAAAACAAATTAACGTAAATTATTTGTTGCTCGTTTAACGATCGTCTTCATTGCACATCGGTCATGACGTCAGTTGACCTGCTCGACAATAAAAGGATTAAAATGTTCAGAAACTCCACCTGAGTCCTGAGGCTATTTGTCCCTCACACTAAATCTAAGAGCACACGTAAGAAAATAGAAGCAGATGAAACTAAAAATCCATGCGGCTTTTATACTTTTTTGGAAGTATACAGTATATTAGAGATGTTCCCTTCAGATGCATATAATAAGCCCCAGCGCCCACCCTGCAAGCATACAAAAATACACTGTGATTTTTTTTTTAAATATACTGTTTCGAATATGTTATTAACCATTTATATTATTATTTTATTATTATTATTATTATTATTCACTTAACAAGGCTTAGGCCCCTGGAGTACACTGTTCCCAGGAGGATCAGCTTGCACCAAACAAACAAAAACATTTTATCATTGAAGTTTGTCAAATGGCGCTGGTATTCATGACTCTCCCTAAAGCACAGTTACAGTGTCCGGAGTCGATTCTATAGATGATTTTATGGTAGCATTCTCTCTCTCTCTCTCTCTCTCTCTCTCTCTCTCTCTCTCTCTCTCTCTCTCTCTCTCTCTCTCTCTCTCTCTCTCTCTCTCTGTGTGTGTGTGTGTGTCTCGCTCTGTGTGTGTGTGTGTGCGCGCGCGCGCTCGCCTACATCCATCTCGTCTACTACTACTGTTTCTATCAACACGATGTTTTAAACTACATCCCGTCTAGAAATTCGACCGAAGCCTAGTCAGAGCTGTAGACACAGAAAACATTGGGGGAGGGGGGGCAGGGGGGGGGGGCGCTCAGACCTCCTACACGTTTTAGCCAGGGGTCTAAACCACGTAAAAGCGAAATAATAATAATAATAACAATAGTCAAATGAGTGGCAAAGAAGTATAAAAAATTAAGTCTGAACATGATATTTAAACACAATATCTTAATTGCTATACATGAGTTTGTGTGCGTGTTTGTGTGTGTTTGTGTGTGTGTTCAATGTGATTTAGCTCCCATGTTTCATCTTCCTTCAGCTTACTCACCCAATGAATCCGATGTTAACAGCTGTAAATGTCTACTTCCCTCAGCCACTTCCATAAAATCGTTGTTGTATACTTTTACTTTAAGATATTCAGCAATAAACCAGGCGCTTGCTAATTCGTTTCTGTCTCATACTGAAATTTATGGCCTTGCAAAATAAGAGTTTCCATCCAAAGTGTCGATATTCTATCTTGTTCTTCACCAAACACGATTTATTACATATAGTACTACTTTTCATCATGCACAAGCAACAAAAACACGAGCATCAACTTTTCGACCTTAACTTTGCTGACGACATAGTACTTTTGAGTTCAACACACCCAGATATCCAAGAGAAAACAGACCTTCTCCAAAATATTTTAGGACAAATTGGTCTACAAATTAGCACAGCAAAACCAAAAATTATTGATTTCACCAATAGTTCAGAGAACATCAAATTAAACAATCACATTCACTCCTAGGGAGTAAGATGACATACTCAGTGGATTTAGAGCCAGAAATAACATTAAAAATCTAACTGGCATCTAGTGCCTTTTCCAAACTGTCAGACGCGCAAAACTTAAGATCTTTAACTCTTGTTAATTCCCGTAATAACATATGGATACGCGAGTTGGAAAGCAACAGTAGCTCTGGATTAAAAAAAAAAAAAATTAAACAAATTTGAGAACAGAAGTCTTAGAGGAAAACTGCATCTTCACTGGACAGATTTCAGATGTAGTACGCAAATAAGACAAGACTCCCCCATCAAGCCTCCTGTGGACACCGGAACAGAAACGAAAATGGGGAAGACCAAAAGAGAATATGCAAGACCTAAATCAACGAACCGCCAGACATGGAGAGCTTTGACCTCTGCCCTATGCGCCGCCTTAGTTTCAAGAGGAAAGACTAACTAACTTTTCATCTTTCTAAATGCTTGCTCTTTCTTGCTCTTAATCCATCTAATTACTAATTATTAACTCATCCACTACTAAGCAGTTGTTACTTGAACCCTTTCTCTCCCAGAGGCAGCCGCTGTGATGTAGCGGATAGACATTGCGAAGGTCGTGGGCTCATGTCCTGACCGAGCCTGACTTGTCACAAAACTGTCCTTGGCTCCCAGTGTGACCCAGCTGTAAATGGTTACTAGGTAAAGTTCTGGGAAGTAAAAGTGACCAGCGGAAGGTTGCTCACATCACTCACCGAGTTATCAAACATAGGTCTAGCCCTATATGCCTAATACGCTTCAAAGCGTGGAAATGGGCCCTTTTTTTATACGAGAAGAGATAATAATATTTAAAGTAGAATTAGAATTTTAAAAAAATTTCCCACCTGAACCTCTGAGTTGGCAGCGAGTTCATAAAAGCACATTTGTAGGGTCGTGGCTGTAGTTTCCATTCCAGCAAAAATCACCAGCATTGAGTGACCCAGCATCTCTTCATATGCTAGTTTCGGTATCACTTTTGGTGCGTCTTTTCTTGAGCAGACTGAAATTGTTCAGATTTCTCAAAATTTGCATCTGCCGTTTCATCGTTGGCCTTTAGAAGTAAGTCCAAAAGGTCTGAATGAGGTCTATCTGTACAGTTTCTTTGTTGCAGTCTTTTCCCACGAATAGTGTTTTGCAGAATTACATCAAAATATTTGTTCGTTGTTAATTTTATTGGTTCAAAGTACTGTAGCTTGAAAACCTCAGTTGACATTCTCTCAACAAATGGGATGCGTTGCAAAAAATCCGCTATTAACTTTGACAGTCCACCACGATCTTTAAAGTCAAAAATATTCTTAGAATATTCGTAGAATTCCGCATCTTCTTCTGCTATGAATTTAGCGTCCAGTCCAAATGCCGTTTTTGCAATAATTTCGCTAGTGTATCTCCCACACACGTCTTTTTTTAGGACAGTGGATCCATTCTTTGCTTGTGTTTCTAAATAATCTGTTAAATCCTGAGCCGATTTCTGAACGGACTTTGAAATATATTTCAGTTTGCCACTGGTAAAGGTTGGCGACAGTATTTGTCTTTGCTTTCGCCATTCGCGCCCACTTGAGAAAAACAAAGAATTGAAGAAAGGCGTGCTGGACATAATCTTTGGTTCTCTGTCTATAAAGTTACTGAAATCTTTGATTAGAATATATCTCCACAGGTCAAGGTTGGCAGTGACCAGAACTAGTTGGGATCCAGACTGTAGGCCGAAGGTTTCTCCATACTGTCTCAGCCAGTTGGCCAGTTTGTGTCTTTAGAAATTAAATTTGTTAATGTATAAACATAGGTCAGTCTAGTGAGTACTGTATGAAAGAGGTTAACATAATCAGTGGACACTGAAAAAAGTGATTGTAATCGGTAATGTACAAAAAAGTCAATGTAAACAGTAATGTATGAAAGAAGTTATTGTAATAAGTAATGTAGGAAAGAAGACAAGGTTATCCTTAATGTGTAGAAGAAGTCAAGGTAATCAGTAATGTGTGAAAGAAGTCAAGGTAGTCAGTAATGTGTGAAAGACGTTACTGAAATAAATAATGTATGGAATAAATTAAGGTAATCAGTTATGTGTGAAAGAAATCAAGGTAATCAGTAATGTGTGAAAGAAGTCAAGGTAATCAGTAATGTGTGAAAGACGTTACTGTAATAAATAATGTATGGAATAAATTAAGGTAATCAGTAATGTGTGAAAGAAGTCAAGGTAATCAGTAATGTGTGAAAGAAGTCAAGGTAATCAGTAATGTGTGAAAGATGTCAAGGTAATCAGTAATGTCTGAAAGAAATCAAGGTAATCAGTAATGTATGAAAGAAATCAAGGTAATCAGTAATGTGTGAAAAAAGTCAAGGTAATCAGTAATGTATGAAAGAAGTCAAGGTAATCAATAATGTGTGAAAGAAGTCAAGGTAATCAGTAATGTATGAAAGAAGTCAAGGTAATCAGTAATGTGTGAATGAAGTCAAGGTAATCAGTAATGTGTGAAAGTATAATTTTCTCCGAAGGAAGGGGCGCTCACGCCTTTTTAACTGAACAATAATAAAGATAATAGTAACACTAACAATAATAATTATTGTTACGCATTTGAAACAAGGCTTCGGACGTCGTCAGCCTAGGAAAATATTGAGGGTGGCTGAGCTGGGGATGGTTGGGAGGTATCCCAGAGGATTAGGCTGTGTTCAACTGGTAAATAATAATAATAATAATAATAATAATAATAATAATAATAATAATAATAATGTGCTGAATGGTAACATTAAAATATTTTAATTGAAATCTGGCTAGACTTTGATGATCCATTTTCTCTTGCGAACTGTACATGAGATCCCATAAGCTCTTAACAATGTATGTCTGGTCATACATCGGTATTCTGCCAGGTTGTGCAGAGTCAGCCAGTCTGTCCAGCTTTTCATTTATCAACACACCACTATGCCCTGGAGAACAGATCAAGACAATGTTCTTTACCTGTGACCTTTAAAGCGTACTATTGCACGAAGCATGTATGCCCTCACCTTCCACAGCATTCTTTCTCAGTTACAACCACAATATGTATGTGTGCGTGCGCGCGCGCGTGTGTGTGTGTGTGTGTGTGTGTGTGTTATCGTGTTCTAAAGCCTGTGACGAGCTGGTCTGGACAGCTGTTTCTTCCCTTTTAAGTATTGCTATGTGTAAGTAATATTATTAAATTTTCTTACCTTATTTTTATTGCTTCATTATAGCGATATTGTAATTAAGAAGTTTAAAGGCGAATGAGTAGGGCAAGGATTAACTCAAGAGTTACTTCCCCCTTCTTGAGACTTCCTACTTTCATTTTCGAACAGAACACATTGTAAGCTAGACGGTTCTCTGTCTGCTTATGACTCAGTATAACCCACTGCAGTCACTATTGTGTGTTTGAATTCCCTACCAGGGGTGAGTGAATAGTATTATTTTAATTTGATCTATTGCTAATATTCCTCTGAATTAATTTGATCTGCCGAACTCTATTAAATGTGATGCCCACATGGCTTAGAAACCGTGATAAATTCCCCTATCCTCACTAACCATGTTAATGATCTAGTATCTTTATTTCCAGGTGGTAGTTCCAGGTGGTAGTCCAGGTGGTAGTTCCAGAAGTAAATCCCAGCCTAGCTGCAGATACCCGATTGTCTGGACTGGACTGGAAGATTCGGCCTGCCTGATGTGTCTCTGAGGCTTAGCTAGAAGCTGGCCAAAGAAACCTGAGCTACAGCTTAGTGGACAAATGTGTCTACCATTAAAGAACTAATTTTATCTCCACAGCCAGGCTAATTATTAGCTAGAATGTTCCAAATAAATGTTATAGTTTTAATGTTCTTCCAGTGTTATGGAGTTATTTTAACTGTAATCATTTGTGTCAGTGAAAAATAGTCAGTGAACTTTAATACATTTAAATATACAATTTATTAACAGTAGGGAATCAGGTGCGGGCAAACCCCGAATCCTTTCATTTAACCAGCAAGTCTGGGGGTAGTATAAACCTTTATGATGATTCACTATTTGCGATTCCCTCTGCAGATTGCACATAGTGCATTTGCTAGATTCAAGCGAATTTAGCCGCCACAAAGTCCTAGCAAGCTGCAGTGACTGCCTGTACCTGCATTCTTAAGCTGGATTTTGTGATATCATACGCTAGGCTCTCCTGCACCAAACGTCGACCATGAGCTTCGTTTACCTCTGAACACTGAACCGTCATTATAAATAATCACATCATCCGAGCCAGCATTATCCTGAATTAATTGCCGAATGCCCACCTCTGTGGCTCCTGGTCAGTCTCTGCACTTCCGGCTCAATGTGATTAGGACTCTACACAAATTATACAAATACTATCTGTCTATCAGGTCCAGTATGAATATACAGTGTGTCACAGTTACTTTTCCTCGTATCACCCAAATTAGGGCAAACAGTAATATACTCAATGCCACATAGTATGCATGTCGTAAAAGGGTGACTATATAGGGTTTTTCCTTTAATTCTCAGTGCTTTCTGTCTGAAAGGCGATATTTCTCTGAACAAAAATAAGTCAGATCTGTAAAAATTAATATGCAAGCAAAACTCTGGAATAATCAGCAATAAAAAAAACTAAAGAAGAACAAGGCTACTGGCGCAGATGAAATCTCAGCTGAAATGTTAAAGGCAGCAGACGAAAACACCTTACAATATTTGCTACAGCTGTTCAATGATGTTTGGCTAAATGAATCCCCACCGCAACAGTGGAAAGAAGGTGTTATATTCAAACTGCCCAAAAAAGGTGATTTAGCAGACTGCAACAACTAGCGTGGTATCACCCTACTCTCCGTAAGAAACTGTTCTGCATGCTATGCAGAGACTGAAAAGCCAATAGATGCAGACTCCGAGAAGAACAAGCAGGATTCAGAACCGAATCGGTCATGTGGGCATGCATCGACCATATATTCACACTCAGGACCATCGTAGAAAAGTCATAGAGTTTCAATCACCCACTCATCATCAACTTTTGTTGATTTTCAGAAGACGCATACACCGACAGGAAGCTAACAATCTATGGTTTCCAAGATAAAATATGTCAATATTATAAAGAACACCGATTCCCGCTGCCTTGTTAGAACGGAATCTGGTAACTCTGATTGGTTCCCAGTAGAAACAGGCGTGAAACAAGGATGTGTCTTGTCACCGATGCTTTTCGGAATAGCACTCGATTGGTCGTCATGCGCAAATGCACACAGGACACACATCTAGGCATCAAATGGGTCGCAAAGTTCTCGAAGATCTTGACTTTGCTGACGACCTAGCACTATCCTGAGCACAACACATCTAGAAGCTCAGGAAAAAAATGGCCGCCTCCAGAATATTTCAAGCCAAATCGGCCTTTCAGGTCAACGCAGCCAAAACGAAAATCATCGATCTTACCAACGAGTCGAAAGACATCAAACTAAAGGATATTTTATCTTGAAAAAATCACCAGCTTCACATACTTAGGGAGCAAGATAACCTCTGCGGGAGATACAACATCAGAAATAACGACTCGAATCGCGTTAGCATCAAGTGCCTTTAACAAACTGTCAAACATTTGGAAGTCAAGATCACTCAGCAACAACACGAAACTTAAGGTCTTCAATTCCTGTGTGATCCCAGTGCTAACTTATGGTTGTGAGAGTTGGAAATCATCAGTATCAATCGATAAGAAACTAGTCGCTTTCGAGAATAGATGCCCTCCGAAAGCTATTGAATGTTCACTGGTCGGACTTTAGGTCCAATACATCTATAAGACAGGAAACAAAACAAAAATATGTGTCTGATTTTATAGAATGCGTCGCTGGAATTACATCGGTCACGTACTCAGATGGACATACAGAGACTTCCCCACCAAGCCTTCATATGGTCACCAGAGGTAAAAGAAAACAGGGAAGACCAAAAGAAACTCTCCGTAGAACCATCACAAGGGGAGAGCTCAACCATAGGTCTCAGTCGCACTCAAGACCTACATCAAGTGGCAACGAACCGACAGACGTGGAAAGCTATGACCTCTGCCCTATGCGCCATCTTTGGCACAAGAGGAATAACTAACTAACTAAAACTCTGGAAGAAAAGTTCTGATATCGGCCAACAATCAGAAATTTTCGCGTGAGTTTAGAGCCGGTGAATGTGAAGAGGAGAAGAAAAGAAGAAGAAGAAGAAGAAGAAGAAGAAGAAGAAGAAGAAGAAGAAGAAGAAGAAGAAGAAGAAGAAGAAGAAGAAGAAGAAGAAGAAGAAGAAGAAGAAGAAGAAGAAGAAGAAGAAGAAGAAGAAGAAAAAGAGAACGATGGTCACTAAAGTATTAAAATTCTATCTGTCACTTCCTCTATAGTGCAGGAATACTGTTTATCACATTGTCCTTGGCATAAACTAAAAATAATGACATACAAAAAAATCTTACCTGAAATTAACTTCCATCAAAATATTCCCGGAAATCTGATGATACTTTACGCCGTAACGATTCCTGTGGTACGTGCCGATGTTCTTATACAAATAGAGGACTGCGACGGCAAGTGTCACAATTAGAAGACACAGAGTAGATGGTGTCCATCCAAACATATCAAGCCAACTGCCAGAACTCATTTTCCCTGCTTCAATACATAGACTCATAAAGCATACCAACTGTTCTTCCTTGACAGAATATATATTTGCAATTAATAGAATAAGGCAGAATTATAGAATGCAGTTTATGTGGTGTGCATATGTTTGTGTGTATAAAGAAGAAGAAGAAGAAGAAGAAGAAGAAGAAGAAGAAGAAGAAGAAGAAGAGAAGAAGAAGAAGAAGAAAGAAGAAGAAGAAGAAGAAGAAGAAGAAGAAGAAGAAAGAAGAAGAAGAAGAGAAGAAGAAGAAGAAGAAGAAGAGGAAGAAGAAGAAGAAGAAGAAGAAGAAGAAGAAGAAGAAGAAGAAGAAGAAGAAGAAGAAGAAGAGGAAGAAGAAGAAGAAGAAGAAGAAAAAGAAGAAGAAGAAGAAGAAGAAGAAAAAGAAGAAGAATAAGAAGAAGAAGGAGGAGGAGGAGGAGAAGAAGAAGAAGAAGAAGAAGAAGAAGAAGAAGAAGAAGAAGAAGAAGAAGAAGAAGAAGAAGAAGAAGAAGAAGAGGAAGAAAAAGAAGAAGAAGAAGAAGAAAATTAGTATTAAAGAAATTCTTATTAAAAGAACCATTACCTGGAAGCATGATCCACGTCTATTCCTAGCTGAGAGTGGAAGTCTTTGTCGTCAACTGCTGTGCTTTATTTATTCTTCAGTTGTCAGACACTTGATACCTTCGCTTTCAAGCAACAGTAAATGCCACGGCACACCCTGCCTTGCTGTATCAAATTAACGTTTATGTTTCAGTGTGCTCGCAAGAGAGAGAGAGAGAGAGAGAGAGAGAGAGAGAGTAAAAGAGAGACAGAGAGAGTAAAAGAGAGAGAGCGAGAGAGAGATACAGAGAGATAGTGAGAGAGAGAGAGAAAGAGAGAGAGAGTAAAGAGAGAGAGAGAGTAAAAGAGAGAGAAAGAGAGAGAGAGAGTAAAAGAGAGAGAGAGAGAGAGTAAAAGAGAGAGAGAGAGGGTAAAAAAAGAGAGAGAGAGAGTGTGTGTGTGTGTGTTATTCTTTATGTTTCCCCCGAATTAATGTGATCTTGAGACTAGCTTTTCGCACCCCCACACTCCCGTTTCCCTTCTCGTTAGCGTAAGTAAATACCTTCAAGCTGTCACTGTAGTACTGGTTTCATTACAATTGGTAATGTTGTTCTTAGATAAACCCTTGTTAGTGCAGTAGTGTGATAAAAATTGTAGTAGTCACGGGCGCCAGAATGTAAAGGGAGGGGAGGGAGAGTTGGAGGGGGGGGGGGCAGGAGGCTGAGAGTTAGTGAGGGCCCTGCTCCTAGTGATTTTCATGTGTGAAGATAGCAAACCAGACGATAAGTATAACTAGTTAGCTTCACACTGTCGTAAACATAAGTGACAAACCAACGTTGCAACTAAAGAGTTGGCATTAGCACATGACATGCATATACAACATCACAAATAAAAGCAAGAATATCTCAAAATTACTCTACTGATGTATCACCGAGACCAATTCCCAAATCTCTTCAGTTGAATCACTGACAATGGCTTTACTGCCGGAAATAAATACAAGCCAGAAATCAACAATAAATGTGAACAGTAAGGACCGTTACACAAAATGTTTAGATGGAATTATATTGGACAGTATATAAGCTATGCTTATTCAGAGGAGCTGAGTCAATCTATTCCCTCATAGAAAATTATATGTGGCCTTACAACCACCTTCCCCCCCCCCCCCCATCTCCCTAAACCCACCACTAATTTACTTACGGTGACGCCCCTAGTTGTCACAGTATTATATGTGCATTTAAAAAAAAAACATCCCGCTGAACCCTTAGGATTATATCTGGATATAGTGTGAATTCTAAGTTCAGTGTAAATACTGTTTTATAGTTGTGTCAATTGTATTTTGGCTGTGTGGAAAACAGGTTTTGGTTCATAAATAAGGTCTGTCAAAGCAGTGAAGGTAAGATCCAGTCATAGAGCCAACGACTCTGTGACTATACATTTACGCTGGAGCACCGTCACAAAGAATTCAACTGGGGGTGGGTGGGGGGGGGGGGGTAGGGAGAAGTTGGTGAGATTATGTACATAAATAACATATGTTGAGCCCTCAGACATATATCTGGATTTAGTATGCCTTATAAGTTCAGTGTATATACCGTCCTTGTGTAGTGGCTAGACAGTCGTCCGCTCACCTTAGATGGTCTAGGGTTCGGGTCCTGATAGAGCCGGACCTTTTTGTCAAACATGACCTTGTCTCCCAAGTCGACCCAGCCTTGAGTCATGGAAAGTAAAGGGGGCCAGCGTGCTGCTGACCACATCACCTACCAAGTGTTAGATTAGCCCTATACGCCTGAAGTCGTGGACAATTGTCCTTTACTGTGCAGCATGATAAATGAACAGAATAATTAACGCATTTCTAATAACATAACAGGTTAAACTCTGGAGGAACTACTACATTACACATTTGTTTTTATTCCATATAGCTGGATCTATCTCCAAACAGTGACTAGCTGCCAACCGAGAACGTCGCAGAAGGCACAGTCACTGCAGTTCCAGTAACGATCCTCAGGGGATTTCCTTAGAATTGCACTCCTGAACCCAATGACCCAGCCATTAAAGGAACTCCTGACCTTTGGAGGGCGAGGCAAATACTTGACCCCTTTCAGATCCCCATTTTCAAATAATTGTAAATGATTTCAAATGTTTTACCATTTTCAGATCCCCATTTTCAAATAATATATATAACACGTCAACTAATAATTAAACACTCAATTAGTGTTATTAAAAAAAGTATACTCTCTCTTTCTCTCTCTCTCTTTCTCTCTCTCTCTCTCTCTCTCTCTCTCTCTCTCTCTCTCTCTCTCTCTCTCTCTCTGATACGTCTATTGCGAATTAACCAAAGAGTGTAAAAAATATACTTTCTCTCTCTCTCTCTCTCTCTCTCTCTCTCTCTCTCTCTCTCTCTCTCTCTCTTTCGCTCTCGCTCTCTGACACGTCGATCACTAATTAGGCAATGAGTGTAAATAAAAATATATTCTCTCTCTCTCTTTATCGCTCTAACACGTCGATTACTTAAAAAATACTTAATGAATGTAAATAAAAAATATACAGCCACGTCAATGGCATTTTATCTTTGTTTTAAAAGGCATTGATTGTCCATGTATACGTCACCCTCAGGGGGAAAGCATGCAGAAAGATCAAATGGTTTGGAATGTAACAAAACAGAGGGCAACACAAAGATCAATGTTATGTAGAGATAGGCGGTAACAGAGCCATAAGTCGACCATGCAAAAGATGACAACAGAGACGCTCAAAAATAATATACACGAAACAAACAAAAAGACCAGTTTCATAGATTTCTTCATGCCCAGTCACTGCCAGGCATCTTAGGAAGGAACGTGGAAGTAGAATATGTTATGATTTCTTCATGCTTTGTTTCCTTCCCCGCCGATTGTAAGAAAGTTAGTAATTTTCTTTGTTCTTTTCAACGAGTTATTTTGTGTACTGTTATGTTATCACAATCGACTTCACAGCCCATTGAGAATTCCCATGCGTGCTCTGTCCTCCGGTACAGTAGCCACTCTAAAGTACCTTTACTGATATTTATTCCATGAATAGTTGGTTATAATGTCTCATATTCTTGGTCTTGAAGGCGTTATAGGAGTGCTTTACCTTGTTTACTCTACTGTCACGCAATCGTGTTAGTGTCAGAGGTTCGTCAGTGTAGCAAGTCCTACTTGAAGCCAGATTTCCCCTAATAAATAGGTGTCACAAAGAGGAACAGTTACAAATCAATTTCGTGTAGAACGCAAAGAAGGAAACTGCGAAAATAAAAAGTATTAGCATTGCAGGATAACTTTTAGTTGCGTTTCCTTTACAGGACGTTGCAGAACTAGCCTCAGTATTTTTTACTGTTTTGATTTTCCTTGGCAAATTTACGTCCAATAGTTTGCCATTGCTTTCTGGACAGTCAGTTTCTACAAACCACAGTCAAAACCAAGGCAAAGCGCAAGGCCTACAGCTGGGATCGAACCCAGCACCCCGGCATAACGAAGCGCGTTCTCAACCCCTAAGCCATAGACGCCGACGCAACATCATTACATGATCTCATATGAAGGGTCGTGTTTGTATTTATTTTCCCGGAAAGTCACCCGATGTAAAACATTCTATGCTCTCAATGCTCTGCAGGATACACTAGTGTTGCATTCAGTGCAATAATCATGTGTGCTCTGATCATAGTTAGTTAATTAGTCGACAGATTAGACTCACTGAAAAAACAAAACCAAACTATTTAGTCCATAAGTGCTTGAATCCCCTCCTAAATAAATCATACATCGTGTAGCAGCTGGCGACACCAATTCTGTGTTGGTTTATAATTTATTTTTTCTGCAGTCTTCCTGTCTTGTCACACGGCTTTAAACATGTTGTATTTGAGGTCTGGCCATGGTTGCAGATTCATAGTCATTACTTGGTTCTCTCCCACGTCTTACTTCTTGTAGAGCATTCAGTATATCGGCCTGGCCCATGGCGTTCAGACCTCCACAGTAGCTTTACCAGCAAGCCTAACAGCTCATTTATTTCATAGCACGCCTGTCTGCCTTGGCACGAATATGAAACTGAAACGCGTCAGTCATCACCACCTCAGAAATCATCCATTGTCTTTAGACCCAGTCTATCTCTTTCTTCGTGAGCATACTCTCTGAATCACTGAGAAATCATACGCGGGGGAAAGTTTGTATCTGCAGCCATATATTTACTTTGGTCAGTGCCATTACCTCCAAAGTCAGACTGATTGTGGCCAAGTCAAATGCATCAGAATTTCGCTTCACAATTATAATGCCAACCTGAGCAGTAAAAGTACCTACGATTTTCAAATGCCCTACCTGGTTATAACTTCTCTAAAGTCAGATCTAAATATCTTGTACTTGCTCTGCTGGGTTGCATCCAGGATACAGCTCTTCGATTTTCAAAGCTGCTAAACGTTTGGATATTGGCGATTAGTTACTTTAACTTTTTTAAAAATGTTTTAA